TTTTTTTGGTGGGGCTTACCTCCCTTCTCCAGCGAGACCCTGGGGGAAAGCCTGGAGCCACCGTCTCCCTCCCACCCCTCCGTGGAGCCATATGGAGCCTGAATTTTTCCAACATGGAGGCAAGGGAAATAGACAGTGTTTGGCTGGGTAGAGCTGTTCCCCACCCCCTCTTCTCCTGGATCCCAGATCTCAGATCCCCGCAGCACCTTCCCTCTTCCCACAGTCCTGTCAGCCAGGCCTCGGCGCCCTCCAGCTGGGAGCCCAGCTGGGCAAAGTCCCGGTGCAGAGTTGCTAAGGCGCCTTTTAATTCGGTTACCTCCAGCGCCCAAACTTGCCGCTGCAGGGCTCGGCCGGCCAAGCCGACCCGGTGTGCTTGGAACCTGTCGGCTGCTAACCGTTTTCGTGTCCCGATCGCTTTCTCTTCGCTTCCTTGGGCCAGCGTAGGCGGCGGGTAGCTCATCGCCAGCCGTTGCGGCACCAGTGGCGGAGACAGCCGGGGGCTATCCCGGTGCACAAACCTTCCCGGCCCTGTATCACCGCCGGCGGAGTCTCCATTCTTTCTTATTACGTCTCTGGCTCCTTCGCTTCCCACACTCGCCTGGCCTCCGTCCTGCGATGGTTTGGGGTTTATTGCAGGGGGAGCAACAGAAATTTCGGCCTCAGGCGTCTAGTCAAATTATTGTTTATTATTATTATCATCATCATCATCATCATTATTGCTGTAACAATCATTTAGACTAAATAAAGCCAGGGCCCACCCAGCTAACCCCCGCCAACGTTTTTATTTCATTCTCTTCTCTATCTATTAATAACAAACTCAACTGACGCCTGTTAATTAATTCCCCCTTCAGCCAGGGCTGCTCCGAAGCTAATTTTGGTTAAATCATCAGAGGATAATGGTAATAATAATAAAGGGATTGGGTCAGCCTGGTCAATTGAACTCCAGTTCTCCTTGGAAGGACCTGCTGCTTTGCAGACCCATGTGCATTTCCAGAAACAGATTCTTCCCAGAAACCAATCGGAACTCACGACTACACCGCCTTTCTTTTGAGTATAAATCTGTACCGTTAAGAATGGGATTTATGTGTGGGAGGGACTTCCTTCACCTTCACTCCTTTCATTTTACTTTCCTAATTTTAGTTTTCTTTGGAGTTGACCAGCTAGGCTGAATGAGATTTAAGTTTTCAAAACACACGTGACAGAAGAGAGAATCAGTCTGGAGGTTTTATAAAAAGTGGAGGTGAGGAATTTGGACAGAAAGGGGGAAAAAAAGAAGCCCGACGAAGCTTTAGAACAAATACACAAAATCCTATCACACTTTTAGGCTTTAGTTTCCTGGAACATTTTTAAAAGGCTGTATTTAAATAGTGATTGTATTTTTATTTTTGCTTCAAAGAACCCCAGTAAACTGCAGTACCCTCTGTTTCCAACCCAGAGAATAATGTTGTTCAAATTGCTCTTTGGATTTTTTTTCTCCAAAACATTTTTTTCTCTTTTAGAAAGCATGTTTTCCATCTAAGTAGCAAAGTCCAGCAGTTGCACAATTTAGTTTTCTTTCCTTATTTTCTTTTGGAGAAATCAAAGAAAACAGACTTTCAAGAAAAAGGTGGGGAAAATTGTCTGATGATTTAAAAAGAGGGGTGGAGAGAGAGACCTGGGCCAAATGGTCACAGCTCCAAAGGGCCCTGTCTGGGAAACTGAAACAATCCTGTTCCATTTGGAGGCTCCGCAGGGGCCATTGGCCACTGGTCCTAGGCCTGATTGAGCAATGACAAAAACTGGAGGTGGTGGTACCTGCAACAGGATCATGGATGGCAAGAACTCAGTTATGCTGGCTCTTGGGATTAAAATCTTCAAGGATTTTCTAGGTCAGGCCTGTTGTCCTCTTTGTGAAGGGCAGGGTGGGAAGAAAATGGTATCTCACAGAGGGTTCCCTGCTGAACTTGCTTCTTACTCTGGTCTTTGTCGGAGATCCCTTGGTTTCCTCTGGACTAGACTTTGCCTAAGTGAAAGGATATAGATGGAGGTAAGGCAGAAGGCAGAGAGGCCTCTCAGCTCCAAGGAAGGCATTCATGAGCTTTTTGGAGTCTGCTAATGCCCTATCTCTTGAGCCACTCTACCTCAGAGTTGGGGGAGGCTTGGGAGGGAGGGAGGGAGGGAGAGAGAGAGAGAGAGAGAGAGAGAGAGAGAGAGAGAAGGAGAGGTCGGGGGCTAGTGCACAGGCAGAGAGAATCAAGAGCCCAAGTAGCAGTAGGATTCTACTTCTTGGCACTCCCCAAAGGAGTATAATCTTGATTTTTTAAGTGGAAATGAAAAATAGTGGAATTTATTTTTTAAATTTAAAGTGCTGATATATGAAAAACCTACTTCAGGTCAGAGACATGCCTCAGCATCTGCTTTGGAGATGTTGAGAAGGGGAGAAGAAAAAAACCCTATTGATGTCAGTTCCCTTTTCAGTTCCTAAGATGGATTCGAGCCCCAGTCCTCTTCTCCCCCTTGTGTCTCTTCTCTCCCCCCGCAGGTCAGCCGCTTGCAACAGTCCCGGGAGGAGGGGGGCAGAAAGGGGAGGGGGGGTCCGGCGTGTCACGAGACCCCCGGGGGTGCCAATGTCCGGTCGTGAGGGTATCAGGCCCTTGCAAGTTGCCATCCACTGCCCGGGCCTCGCCCAGCGATGCAGAAAGCCACCTACTACGACAACGCCGCGGCTGCGCTCTTCGGAGGCTACTCCTCGTACTCTGGCAGCAATGGCTTCGGCTACGACGGGCCCCCCCAACCCCCCTTTCAGGCCGCCACGCACCTGGAGGGTGACTACCAGCGCTCAGCGTGTTCTCTTCAGTCCCTGGGCAACGCCGCCCCACATGCCAAGAGCAAGGAGCTCAATGGCAGCTGCATGAGGCCCGGCCTGGCCCCTGAGCCCCTGCCCGCCCCTCCGGGCTCACCCCCGCCCAGCGCCGCACCTACCAGTACCACTAGCAACAGCAATAATGGGGGCGGGCCCAGCAAAAGCGGCCCCCCCAAGTGCGGTCCCGGCTCCAACTCCACCCTCACCAAACAGATATTCCCCTGGATGAAAGAGTCGAGGCAAACGTCCAAGCTGAAAAACAGCTCCCCCGGCACAGGTACCAGCTCTCTGCCTTCCTCGTCATCAGCTTTTGTCAGATCCAGGAATGTCACTGTTATTCTAGCACCCAGCCCCTAGGCGCCCAGGAGGCGGCCTGGGAACAATATTAGGTCGCGGGCCATGCATTTTTGGTATCCCCCCACCTGATGACCCCTGACCTTGCCAACATCCTGTCCCTTCAGCTAACCTTCACCCGGGCTCTGAGAGCTCTGGGAGGTGGGGCGCTTGGCCTCAGAACTCTTCCCTAGGCCGCAAAGCCAAGAGGCACTGCCAGGAGTCATCAATGATTATTATTAAGTATGATTACTGTGGGTATTAATCACAATCGCTCTGGCGGCCCAGATTCCCGGCCTCCAGGCACCGCTGTCTCTTCACACCATACTTCGGGGGTCTGCCCATGAGTGCCCGTCCAGTTTCCCGACAGGTTCTCCCCAGTCACCCATCCTGTCCAAAAGACAGAGGGAGGGGAATGTGTTCCCCAGACCAGGAATAGGGAACAAGGGGGAGAAAGCCCGCACGCAAAAATCCAGTCCTAAATAAATGGCCATGCAGCTCTGTCTGCGTGACATGATCAAATTTTCATAAGCTGGGGCAGTGAGAGGAGAACAGGTCTCTTAATAAATGCCACTATTATAGAGTGTCCGCTAATGCGACGGGCGGTGGGGGGGGCAGGAGGAGGCGGGGACGCGAAGGGGAGGGCGGCGGGGGCTCTGAGTCCAGGCCTAGATTTATTAAGAAACGATGCATTCAATTTCGGCGTGTTCAGTAATTATCTTTTATTTCATTTTCTCCCCTTCCCACCCCTCCTCCTCGGATCCAGCAGAAGGCTGTGGTGGTGGTGGCAGCGGCGGCAG